GTGGCTCATGCCTATAATCCCAGCACCTTGGGAGGCCAAGGTGAGAGGATTGCTTGAGCCCACGGTTTCGAGGCCAGCCTGGACAACTTGGTGAGATCGCATCTCTACAACAAATCAAAAAACTAGCTGGGCGTGGTGGCACATGCCTGCAGTTCCAGCTACTTGGAAGGCTAAGGTGGAAGGATCTCCTGAGTCCAGCAGGTCGAGGCTGCGATGGCCGTGATCATGCCTCTGCACTCTAGCTTGGGTGACAGAATGAGACTCCAACTCAAAAAAAAAAAAAAAGAATTGAAGAATAAACAGAGAAGGAAAACTACCCTTTTTTTCAAACAATATGATAGTATATTTTTAAAGTGTTTAATGATAAACTATTAAAACTAATAGGACAGATCAGCAAAAAAAAAAAAAAAAAAAAACCTAAAAAAAATTTATATTCACAGTAACAACAGAAATGATCCAGTACCCAGGAATAAATCTAGTAAGATGTGCCTTTCTAAAGAAAATTACAAAACATTAAAGAACTTAAAAAGAGACTTGGATAAATATGTAGACACTTCATGTTTATGGATAGGAAAATTTGATCTTATAAAGATATCGATTACCCCAAAAGTAATATATCAATTCAATACAATTTCAATTAAAATTCCTAATTGGAGCTGGGCTCGCTGGCTCAGGCTGTAATCCTGTGCCTTTGGGAGGCTGAGGTGAGTGGATTGCCTGAGCCCGCAGGTTGGAGACCTGCCTGGGCAACTGGGCGAGACCTCATCTCTATAATTAAATCAAAAAATTTAGCTGGGCATAGTAGCGCGAGCCTGTAGTTCCAGCTACTTGGAAGGCTGAGGCAGAAGGATAGCCGGAGCCCAGCAGGGCGAGGCTGCAGTGGCCGGGAGCGTGCCACTGCACTTCAGTCTGGGCGACAAAAAGTGAGACTCCAACTCAAAAAAAAAAAATTCCTAATTGGATTTGTCTTATAATTTGACAAGCTTATCCTAAAATTCACATGAAAGATCAAAGGTCAAGAAAAGCTAAGACAATTTTAAAAAACTGGTGAGGGAACTTGCCCTACCAGGTGTCAAGACCTCTTCTAAATACATGATTGTTAATTCAATAACATAACGGAGAAGGACTAGACAAGTAGACCAATGAAAAGGAATAAAAAGCCCAGAAACCCACATACTTTTGGAATAACAACGGAGATATCACTAAACATTTGTAGGGAAAGGATGAATTATTCATTTAATTTTATAGGGCACTGGTTATTCATCTTGGAAAAAATTAGATGTCTTCCTCACATCATATAGAAAACATAAATCCCAGGTGTCCAAAAGATACAAACATAAGAAAGAAAAAATTTTAAATCTTTAGGGGAAAATATAGGAGGATATGTTTATGACCTCAGCATCGAAAAGTAGTACATCAATAAACCACAAAAGCCTATTCCATAAAGGAAAAGATTGATACATTTACTATAATAAAATGTAAAACTTCCACTTAAATAAGAGATGACTTCTAAAAACTTAAGGACTGGAAGAAGAAATGTGCAATATACACAATGACAAAGGTGTTAGCATCCATATTTTATAAGGACCTCTTAAAGATCAATTTAGGCCGGTCTTGGTGGCTCAGGCTATAATCCCAGCACTTTGGGAGGCCAAAGGCGAGTGGATTGCCTGAGCCCGCAGGTTCGAGACCAGCTCGGGCAACCTGGTGAGACCTCATCTCTACAATAAAAATACAAATAAAAAATACCTGGGCATGGTAGCGCACGTCTGTAGTTCCAGCAACTCGGAAGGCTGAGGTAGAAGGATCACTGGAGCCCAGGGGTCGACGCTGGGGTGGCCATGAGCATGCATGCCACTGCACTCCAGCCTGGGCAAAGGAGTGAGACTTCGACTCAAAAAACAAAGATCAATTTAAGAGAATTTCCAATTCCAGCAAGATGGAGTAAGCATGCCACACCTTGTCTCTCCCATTGAATGCAACTTCACATTTTTGGACAGGCTGCATGGAACAGCTAACTATCTGAGGACACTGAAAACTAAATGAGGGCAACTCTCTTGGGTCCCCTCCCACTGTGGGAGCTTTCTGGTGTCCTCTCAATAAATACTGCTGTCTAAAAAAAAAAGGAAAGAAAGAAAACTAAATGGTAATAGACCAACTGGGGAAGGATACAAGAAGAATTCGATGTTTCACTGAACCGGTGGTAAGTTTACCATTTTTTTCCTTCAATATCAGTTGTTCTAAAGAAAGCCCAAAACCCCAAAGTACACACCAGATAAGGAAAAAAGAGAAACTTTTCTCAGGTCTGAGGAAGGGGATGATGAGACTACCAAGGATCAAAAAGCATCCTCTGCCGGGCTCGGTGGCTCAGCCTGTAATCCCGCGCCTTTGGAAGGCTGAGGTGAGTGAATTGCCTGAGCCCTCGGGTTCGAGACCCGCCTGGGCAGGCGAGACCTCATCTCTACAATAAAATCAAAAAATTAACCGGGCATGGTAGCACGCGCCTGTAATTCCAGTTACTCGGAAGGCTGAGGTGGAAGGATCGCCGGAGCCCAGCAGGTCGAGCCCGCGGTGGCCGGGAGCAGCCACTGCACTCCAGTCTGGGTGACCGAGTGAGACTCTGACTCAAAAAAAAAAAAAAAAAGCGTCCTCACTTCTGCTTTTTGTTTTGTTTTGTTCTCTCCCATCCCAATCCCTAGTCAATACCACAGTGGAGGCACAGTATTGGCAAGTGCCCAAAACTCAGAAAGAAGCAGAGGAGTTGCCAGGCAAGGTGGCTCCCACCTGTAATCCCAGCACTTTGGGAGGCGGAGGCATTAGGATTGCAACTTGGCCCAGCAGATGGAGGCTGTGGTGGCAGTGAGTGTGCCACTGCACTCCAGCCTGGGCAACAGAGTGAGACTCCTACTCAAAAAAAAAGAAAAGAAAAGAAAAAGAAACAGAGGAGCTGTGATCTTCCATATGTGGGGACAAATTTTTCATTGCTTATTATTCTCTGATTTGAATGACTATAGATTTCTTACCAGAAGTCAGAGGGGGAGGAATAACTTAATTTTTTTTTTTTTAGTCGGAATCTCACTCTTGTCGCCCAGACTGGAGTGCAGTGGCATGCTCACAGCCACCGCCACCTCGACCTGCTGAGCTTAGGTCATCCTTCCGCCTCAGCCTTCCAAAGGAATAACATAGTTAAAGTACAAAAAGGAAAAAAAAAACTGTGACTCAATAATTAAATATCCAATTTAAAGCAATCCTTATGAAAATTTCAACAGCATTTTTTTGTGAAGAAATGGCCAAGCTGATCTTAATAACATTAATATGAAATTGCAAGGGACCCTAAATAGTCAAAACAATTTTGAGGAAAAAAATTAAAAAGTTTGAAGACTCACACACTTCCCAATTTCAAAACATTCTGCAAAGTTACAGTAATCAAAATAGTATAGTACTGGCATACGGATAATCATATAGATCAATGGAGTAGAACTAAGCATCCAGAAATACTTGGTGGTTCAGTCTGTACTCCCAGCACTTTGGGAGGCCGAGGTGAGAGGATTGCCTGAGCCCATGGGTTCAAGACCAGCCTGGACAACTTAGTGAGACCTCATCTCTACAAAAATTAGTCGGACATGGTGGCGTGTGCCTGTAGTTCCAGCTACCTGGAAGGCTGAGGCGGAAGGATCACCTGAGCCCAGCAGGTTGAGGCTACGGTAGCCAGGAGCGTGCCACTGTCCTCCAGCCTGGGTGACAGAGTGAGACTCCAACTCAAAAAAAAAACAAACTTGCATCTACCATCAATAGATTTTTAACAAGAGTGTCAAGATCATTCACTGGGGAAAGAATAGTCCTCAACATACGTTACTGGAACAACTAGATAACCAGATGCAAAAGAATAGAGTTGGGCCCTTTCCTCACAACATATACAAAAATTATTACAAAATAAATTGAAGACCTAAAAACAATATTTATCAACAAATCTTTTCAACTAAAACAGGTGTAAGTCTCTGTGGCCTTAGATTTGGCAATGAAATCATAGATATGACATCAAAAGCACAAGCAACAAAATAAAAAATAGATAAACTGGACATTATTAAAATAAAAAACTTTTGCACATGAAAAGACACTGTTTCAAGAAAATAGAAAGTCTATAGAATGGGATAAAATCTGTATAAGTCATTTATCTAGCATTCTAAAATCATATAGCTAATGTTCTTAAATATCAAAAAATTTTACAAATCATTATATATTATAAATCACATATACAGGATATAAAGAAATTTTGCAACCCAACAACAAAGAGACAAATAATTTAATCCACAATTAGCCAAAAGACTTGAATAGACATTTCTCCAAAGAAGACACACAAATGACAAACACATGAAAAGGTGCTCAATATCATTAATTATGAGGGAAATGCAAATTCAAAATCTCAATGAGGTACCACTTCACACTCATTAGGATGGCTATAATTAAAAAATAAAACACAGGCGGGGCTCTGTGGCTCAGCCTGTAATCTCAGCGCTTTGGGAGGCTGAGGTGAGTAGATTGCTTGAGTCCTGGGGTTCGAGACCCACCTGGGCAACTTGGCAAGACCTCATCTCTACAATAAATCAAAAATTAGCCAGGCGTGGTAGTGTGTGCCTGTAGTTCCAGCTACTTGGAAGGCTGAGGCGGAAGGATCGCCGGAGCTCAGCAGATCGAGGCTGCAGTGGCTGCTCTCGGTGACAACTCAAAAAAAAAAAAACACAGAAAATTACAAGTGCTGGTGAGAATGTGGAAAAATTGAAACCATCATACATTGCTGGTGGGAATATGAAACGATGAAACTGCTACAGAATATAGTTTGGTGGTTCCTCAAAAAATTAAAACGTACATAGGACCTAGTAATTCCATTTTCAGGTATATGTCCAAGAGAACTGAGAACAGGTGTTCAAACAAAAGCTTATACCGGGGGGCAGAGTGTCTCTCCTTGCAGCCGCAAGAGCCAGAGCTAGCGGGCGGGAGCCATGGCAGGAAAAGTATTTAGAAAGTTTCTTCCACTCTTTGACCAAGTATTGGTTGAAAGAAGCGCAACCGAAACTGTAACCAAGGGAGGCATTATGCTTCCAGAAAAATCTCAGGGAAAGGTATTGCAAGCGACAGTAGTGGCCATTGGCTAGGGCGCCAAAGGAAATGGTGGGGAGATTCAACCAGTTAGTATGAAAGTTGGAGATAAAGTTCTTCTCCCAGAATATGGAGGCACCAAAGTAGTTCTAGACGACAAGGATTATTTCTTATTTAGAGATGGTGACATTCTTGGAAAGTATGTGGACTGAAGCAAAACGCTGTTGAAATGGCATCAACATGAAACTGCCCATTCCACTGAAGTTGTGAAATTTTTCATCATGTAAATAATTTTCGTGTTTTTCTTTTATAATAAACTAATGATATCTAAACTAAAAAAAAAAAAAGCTTCTACAAGAGTGGTCATAGCAGTATTATTCATAATAACCAAAAAATGGAAAAAATTCAAATGTCCATCAATTGATGCATGAATAAGCAACATGTGGTATATTCATGCAATGGAATATTATTCAATCATAAAAATGAAGGAAATACTGATATATGCTACAATATGGATAAACCCTGAAAGCATGCTAAGTGAAAGAAGTCAGACACAAAAGGCCATATGTTGCATGATTCTGTTTATATAAAATATTCAAAATAGGCAAATTCATAGTGACCAAAACTGGATTAGGGATTGCGGGGTGGGGAGAGAGGAGTGAGGAATGACTATTTAATGAGTCCAGAGTTTCTTTTTCTTTTCTTTTTTTTTTTTTTTGAGTTGGAGTCTCACTCTGTCACCCAGACTGGAGAGTGCAGTGGCTGCTCCCGGCCACCGCAGCCTCGACCTGCTGGGCTCCGGCGATCCTTACGCCCCAGCCTTCCAAGTAGCTGGAACTACAGGCGTGCGCTACCACACCCGGCTAATTTTTTGATTTATTGTAGAGATGAGGTCTCACCAAGTTGCCCAGGCGGGTCTCGAACCCGCGGGCTGAGGCAATCCACTCACCTCAGCCTCCCAAGGCGCGGGATTACAGGCTGAGCCACCGAGCCCGGCTCAGAGTTTCTTTTTAAGCACTTAAAATGTCCTAGAATTAGATAACGGTAATGACTGCACAATATTATTAATATTCTAAAAGCCACTAAACTGCACACTTTAAAATGATCAAAATTATGAATTATATTCTATATGCTATGGAGACATTCTTCATAAATGAGAGCGAAATAACTGGGTGCAGTGGCTCATGCCTATAATCTCAGAACTTTGGGAGGCAGAGTCAAGAGGATTGCCTAAGCTCAGGGGTTCGAGACTAGCCTGAGCAACATGGTGAGACTTCATCTCTGCAATAAGTCAGAAAATCAGCTGGGTGTAGTGGCTCATGCCTGGGGTTCCAGGTACTTGGAAGGCTGAGGCGGAAGGATCTCCTGAGTCCAACAGGTCGAGGCTACAGTGGCTGTGAACGTGCCATTGCACTCCAGTTTGGACAACAGAGACTCTGACTCAAAAAAATAAAGAGCGAAATAAAGGCATTCTCAAATGAAGAAAAATTAAAAGAATCTGCCATCTGCATACCTGTTCTAAAATAAATGCTATAGAATGTTCTTCAGATGGAAAGAAAAGTATACCTGAGCCGGGCTCAGTGGCTCAGCCTGTAATCCTATGCTTTGGGAAGCTGAGCTGAGTGGATTGCCTGAGCCCGCGGGTTCGAGACCCGCCTGGGCAACTTGGCGAGACAATAAATCAACTCATCTCTACAATAAATCAAAAAATTAGCCAGGCATGGTAGCGCGCACCTGTAGTTCCAGCTACTTGGAAGGCTGAGGCGGAAGGATCGCCAGAGCCCAGCAGGTCGAGGCGGGCCACTGCACTCCAGTCTGGGTGACAGAGTGAGACTCAAACTCAAAAAAAAAAAACAAAAACAAAGAAAAAAGAAAAGGATACCTGAAAGAAACTTAGAACATCAACAATAAAGAAAGAGGAACAAAAAATGGTAAAATTCTGGTTACTAGTCTATAAAAATAGACTATTTTTTCTCTTAAGCTCTTTAAAATATGTATGAGTTGAGACTCAGAAAACAATACCACAAAAGCATGGCACTTTGATATGCAGAAAATTTTGAAGTAAAATAGGAATGCCTTAGAAGCTGTCTCAAAATCAAGGTCTTTCTGACCTCTTCTGTCTCTGTCCCTCAAGCACAAAAGGGATTCCCTCTAGAATTTTTTTTTTATCTGACTGAGAAAAAGAAATGTAATTTCCTTAAGGTCCCTTTCCTAGGAATCTCTTCAAATAACCAAGAGAGATTAACCACCTAGAGAAGAGACTAAAAGTCATCACCACACTCAGACGGACTCTATCTGTTCTTCTGAGGGCAGTTTCAAGAGATAACCTGGAAGACTTTATCTACATAATAAGATAACCTTTGTTCACAGTGCAGTTTCACCCCTAACCTTCCTGTAACTTGCAGGCACCATTTAGCTTCCTAAAAGAATCATTTACAAGATAATATCTGCCTCCCAGGCACATTCACTTCCCCTAAAAATCATTTACAAACTCTAAAATTGGCTACATTTTCCCCATCTCCCTCTTTCCCATGTGGAGGATATATAAGGCTCAATCACTTGGCCCTTCTTTGAGTTTCATATTTTATATGGCTCCATGCTTATGTATGTTACTAAATTTGCATGCCTTTTTCTCCTATTTATCTGTCTATTGTAAATCATTTCAGCAAACCTTTAGAGAAAGCAGTAGAGACGATTTCTCTCCACCCCTACATATGACAATTGAAAGCAAAAAATTGTGAAATCTCAAAAGTATAGGCAGCCAAAGCAAAAATGGGCAAATTGAATCACATCAAGCTAAAAAGCTTTTGAACAGCAAATAATCAAGTGAAGAGACAACCCACAGAATGGGAGGAAATATTTGTAAACCATCCATCTGACATAGTATTAATAGCCAGAATATATAAGGAGCTCAAACAAGTCAACATGAAAAAAACAAATTTGATTTTAAAATGGCCAAAAGATTTGAATAGGGATTTCTCAAAAGAAGACATACAAATGGCTTACAGGTTTGTGAAGAAATGATCAACACCACTAATTCAAAGATATGCAAATCAAAACTATGTGTCATCTTATCCCAGTTAAAATGACTTTTATTCAAAAGATAGGCAATAATGAATGCTGGCAAGGATTTGGAGAAAGGGGAACACTTATACACTGTTGGTGGAAATGTTAATTAGTACAGTAACTATAGAAAACAGTATGGAGGTTCCTCAAGAAACTAAAAATATAACTACCATACAAACCAGCAATTTCAAAGAAAAGAAATCAGTAATAGAAGAGATATCTGCACCCCCACCCATGTTTGCTGCAGCACTATTCACAATAGCCAAGATAGAGAAGAAGCCTAGTGTCCACCAGCAGATGAATGGAAAAAGAAAATGTGGTTCATATACACAACCATATATTATTCAGCCATAAAATAAAGTGTGAAATCCTGTCATATGCAACAACATGGATGGAACTGGAGGGCATTATGTTAGGTGAAATAAGCCAGGCACAGAAAGACAAATATTGTATCACTCATATATGGGAGATAAAATTTTTTTTAATTTAAAATATTGAACTTGAACTCAAAGAGATAGAGATGAGAATGATGGCTACCAGAGGCTGAGAAGAGTACTGGGGAGGGGGAATAGAACACAGTTAAATAAAATGAATAAGATGTAGTATTTGGTAGCATACTAGGGTGACTATAGTTAGCAAGAGTTTATTGTATATTTAGAAATAACTCAAAGAATGGAATTGGAATGTTCCTAACACAAGGAAATAATCAAGGTTTGAGGTGATGGATACCAAAGTTACTCTAATTTGATCATTACACATTGTATGCCTGTATCAAAACATCACATGTACTCCATAAATATATACATTACTATGTGCCTATAATAATTAAAATCAACTTCTTTTTGAGTCAGCATCTCACTCTTTTTTTTTTTTTTTGAGTTGGAATCTCCCTCTGTCACCCAGACTGGAGTGCAATGGCTGCTCCCAGCCACCACAGCCTCCACCTCCTGGGCTCTGGCGATTCTTCTGCCTCAGCCTTCCAAGTAGCTGGAACTACAGGCGCGCGCTACCACGACAGGCTAATTTTTTTGATTTATTGTAGAGATGAGATCTCACCAAGTTGCAGGCGGGTCTCGAACCCACGAGCTCAGGCAATCCACTCACTCAGCCTCCCAAGGCGCGGGATTACAAGCTGAGCCACCGAGCCCGGCTGGCATCTCACTCTTGTCTCCCAGGCTGAAGTATAGTGGCACACTCACGGTCACCGCAGCCTTGACCTGCTGGGTTCAGGAGATCCTTCCGCCTCAGCCTTCCAAGTAGCTGGAACTACAGACTCATGCCACCACACCCGGCTGGTTTTTTTATGTTATTTTTTTTATTATTGTAGAGAAAAGGTCTCAGCCAATTGCCCAGGCTGGTCTAGAACGCCAGGCAATCTTCTTGCCTCAGCCGCCCAAAGTGTTGACATTACAGGCTGAGCCACTGTGCATGGCCTAAAATCAACATTTTAAAAAAATTATATCTTGGTTCAAGGAGTTTGGGTGCATGCAGATGTGATATAGGTGATAAGAACAAGAGGAAAGAGAGAGGGTAAAAGGACCTACAAGGTGGTAAGTTTTCTTTCTTTCTTGAGTCTTGCTCCGTTGCCAAGGCTGGAGTGCAGCGGCACACTCACGGCCACGCCAGCATTGACCTGCTGGGCTTCAGCGATCCTTCCGCCCCAGCCTTCCAAGTAGCTGGAACTACAAGCGTGTGCCACCACCTCAGCTAATTTTTATTGATTTATTATAGAGATAAGATCTCACCGAGTTGCCCAGGCTGGGCTCAAACCCGTGTGCTCAGGCATTCCTCTTACCTTGGCCTCCCAAAGTGCTAGGATTACAGACTTGAGCTGCTGTGTCCAGCCAATGGTAAGGTTTCTACATTTCACTGTGAAATATTAAGTATGTATATTATTATTTTTTTTTTTTTGAGTTGGAATCTCACTCTGTCGCCCAGACTGGAGTGCAGTGGCTGCTCCCGTCCACCGCAGCCTCAACCTGCTGGGCTCCGGCGATCCTTCCGCCTCAGCCTTCCAAGTAGCTGGAATTACAGGCATGCGCTACCACGCCCGGCTGATTTTTTGATTTATTGTAGAGATGAGGTCTTGCTGCCCAGGCGGTTCTCGAACCCATGGACTCAGGCAATCCACTCACCTCAGCCTCCCAAAGGCGCGGGATTACAGGCTGAGCCACTGAGCCCAGCAGTATGTATATTATAATCCCTAGAACAACCACAACATTTTAAAACTATATAAACAAATACAATTAAAGCTCAATAGATAAATGTAAATAAAATACAA